GCTGGTCTTCCACACAAGTTTTACCTTCTCCCTCTTTGTTGCACAGGGCAAGTCAACTAGATTATTATCTAACTCCCTAATATAATCTTCGATATGGCGATCGCAGTTGTCTGGATCAAAAGGTTCCATATCTTTAGCTATAAGCTCAAGCTGTTCAAGGTGGGGACACTGAGGTTGTTACTGGGGAAGCTAGCTTTACTGTAAAAATGTGTCTTTGGTTGACAGGCAGGGGCTGCATATCTGCTGCAGGATAAGCTACATATCTCTTCAATGTCTGATTCGGGGAGATGAGAAGAGGGTTAGAGGAAGCTAATCTCTCTCCAAGGGAGGAGTTTAAATCAGAAAAGCCAGAGTCACATCTGCTGAATGTGGTGGGACCAGATGTCCTAATCTAAGCCCTAACAATTCCTCCTTGAGTTCTAACTCTGTTGAATGCAGGTCTCTTAAATAGCGCATGGCTTTCCTATCAGCTGTCTGAACTTGGTGGAGGAGACTAGCATTGTGTGCTTTAAGGCAATCTACTTCCTTCTCTAAGGCTGCTCGCTCTGAAAAGCAAGACTAGTTTGCCTGTGGAAGTTTAGAAGCAAACATCTCAGCAATGAACATTTGATGCAATCGCAACTGTCATTAAGCAGTGAGTCTATTTCATTCCTACACTCTGAAATTCAACCTGCTGATGGTTCAGGGTAGCTGGGCTTTAGGCTCTGTGCTAGGGAAGAAATAAAGGTAGTGTAATGGTAAATCTGTACTTGTATAGCACCTTTCTAGTCTTCTGACCACTCAAAGCGCTTTTACACTAATTGCCACATTCACTCTTTGACACACATTCACTCAGTGATGACCCATCGAACAGAAACTAACACATTCATACACATTCGATGCACAGAATCGGGAGCAATTCTACAATTACACTTGTATTAAATTATATTCACTTCTATTCTGAACGTTATCAAATATTTATTTTTCATTGATAGTAATAATTTTTAACATACATAAACATGAGCAGCACACATCAAGTGCTCATAGCACCAATGAATTAAAATAATACAGTAACTACTATTTACTAAATAGGTTATGGCTTCTACTGGATAAGAAAGAACTTCACCTCTTTTTGACTTCTTACTATTGTTTAACCGTCTTCAACTATTAACTGTCTGTTTTCAGAAAGAAAAAAACACATAAAACACAATAGCCATCAGACCAGCAGTATTCTGTTTGCTGACAGCAACAGTTAAAGCATTGCTGTCTAGATGCTCTTTTAGAGATTAGACTGTCCCATGAGGAAAACATCGATATACACAGAAAATAGTGTCATAATGGTATAACAGCGGTCATATAGAATCCCTATTGTATGAATGGGACCAGTCTACAACTCTTGCTGTATCCCACAATGCAAAGCATTGCAAATGTTTTTGCAAATTTCATCTCTAAATTCACTTCTGAGAATGTTTTCTGTGTAGATTTTGAATATTGGCAGTTTAAGGAAAATTGATGACGAATTGAAAATACGCTTTTGGAGTGGAGAAGCTCCAAATAGCACCTGTGGCAGTAGCTAACTAGCCAGTCTGTGCTCACAGATCCGTCTTACCCCCCCAAAGACCACTGGAGCCAACACAGCAGACAACTTCAGCAACAATAAAGCTTTACTTACTTACAATGGCAGAGGAAAGAGACACACCTGTCATTGTTCCTTTGCCTACCACTGTTATTCTGTCATTACATTTCTGATCAGAGAACAAAAGAGAAGATGTATTACATCTGTAATGAAGTAATGTCACAAAACGCAGATGAATCTGGTTCCTTCTAATCTTCATGATAATCCACATTTCTAACTTCTTTTAAAGAGCAAAATGGGATGATACTTAGTAGCTGTGGTTTGCTATCAGCCTGAGCTATTATTTATGTCCACTTTCCAAAACAGGTCTAGTCTAGATACTGCAAAATGAATTGATTTAACAGTTTCATGTTGCATGTCACTTTGAAAAGCGGTATGGAGTATGTACTACATAGTGCATACTGCGTTTGTTGTTACTATGTAGTAGGTGGTTCTGAATACAGTCATAGTCCTGTTTACTTGTTCTTTAAATCTTTTTATTTAAAGCCTTATTTTAAATTGTTTTATATACTTTTTTTGACATGCCACTTGATCCAAATTTTCTATGAGTTTGACACTGTAGATCGGTGTTAAGTATAATTTAGTTATCAGTCAATATCATAATGACTCTGCTTTCAGTGTTTACTGAGCCAATAATCCAGTCCCCTCTTTGTCATGAGTTAACTGAATCAGGGTCTGATGTGAGTAAGTGGTTCAAATGGAAGGTAACTCTCTGGATCTATGTGGTGTGTCTTCAGGAAACACCCAGCTGGCCCTGCAGATCATCAAACGGAACCAGCTTCTGCCCACGGCGGTCCAGAGGGTCTCCCCAGACTCCCGCAAGAAACCCGTCCAGCAGCCCTTTCAGTCTGTCCAGCCAATCCAGCTGTCCTCACCCTTCACACAAGTTCAGCGCAAATGAGCATCCACAGCCACCTCTGACCCCAATCCCCCCACACCAGAGGACAAACTCCACACACACTCATACACACACAGCCCTGAGGATATTTATAAAGCTGCTTCCTGTCAGCACCAGGAGCCATATGAAATGCAGGTCTGACTGATGAGGAGAGAGCGGTGAATTTTTATTTCCATTTGACTGAGGGATCTGTGTTGTCTCAACTATGAAAATAAATTTTATTTACTGTATGACTTGTGTGATTCTTGATTACCTACATTGTTTCTGTGCCACAGTGAATGCAGTAGGGACATTCTGACAGTAGTTGTTTCTCTCTCTCTGTGACAATTTTGGAGCCATGAGTAGAGCCCTGCTAAAACAATGTGAAGCAGCAATCGTGTTTATAGAATGTAATGGCAATTTTTCAGAACCTATACAACTCTTTGACCTGGTCATTGTAAAACCATATGCAACTGTTAAACCTTTAGCCCTGTTTCTAACTACACTCTATGTCCAAGTAAACCGCGGGATGGGCAGCTCAGAGGCGGGTCGCCCACTGATCGGAAGGTTGTTGGTTAGATCCCCGGCTCGTCCTGTCACATGTCGAAGTATCCTTCAGTAAGATACTGAACCCCAAATTGCTCCCGATGGTGTGTAATCAACAAGTGCAGGTCCATTTACCATTCAATGTTGAGACTTCACTAAGAAGCCAAGGACATGATCATTGCACCACACTATCTGTCTGTTTACATTCCCAGAACTCAGGAATGTGTAACTGTTAGAGTGACGCTCCAAATGAACAAATCTTTCTGCGAGCCTTCACATACAAGAGTCTGTGACAGTTGATTAACTCCATTCATGGATTACTTGAATAAAACTTTACAGAAAGACATGATCATACTTTGTATGCTTTATTTAACAAATAGCCACCACTAGAGTTAGCAGATAACTAATATATATATAGCAATAACTATATATTAGATATTATTAGACAATAGATGTGTTTAACCAAATAACTTTAAATCTAAATGGTCAGACACAGTAACCTTTTCCTTAAGTGTCCATGCTCATCTGCGACACAATATAATATTTTATTCAAAGTATATATTTTACCCCTAGTACAGTCTAGTACAGCTTATGAATGTGGCTACTGGCTTGTAGTTATTCATTATCATTACTCCTTTCCTGAATGCTGCCTTTTGAAGTAAGTAGTGTAGCTGTGTGGGCACTTTAAAGGTCATTGTTTTTTCATCAATTCCACCCATGATTCTGTGCATGTCAGATGGGCTACAGAACACAAAAGACACACGGGTGACTTTTTGTGACTTGTGATTCACAGGTAGGGCAGAAACAAACACTGACACCTTTATGACAGTAAACTAAGTGTCTTTGGATTGAATAGAAGACATTTGAGGATGTGAGCTAGGGCTTTAGGAAATACTGATTTTTCACCTTTTTCTGGACCGAACAACTTATTAGTCTACTTGCAAGTTTTCTGTTAGAAATATGAAATATGGGTCCCAAGCATATAGAAACTGACGCAGTATATAGAATCTCCCTACCATCCCAGCCTACTACTTCTCTGGACATCCAGGAGATTTAATAAAACATGTCTTTGGTGCACTAGACATAAAAATTACTTAACTTAGAAATATAGTAATATCTAGTTTGGGGCTTTGGCAATTTTCCTAGGAGGATTCTATGAAGGTTTTTCTGTATCAACCTATACATGTAGATACACTGGACACAACTGAATGTGGATAACACAGACCATGAGGCTAGATATCAAATACAGAGTGGACCTTAAAGGATAACATTTTAAAGGGGAACTTGGCAACTATTTCAACTAATAAACCCGTTTAGAAATCATTTGGATGGGTAAATGGCCTGTTCCGGTGAAGATGGTGACTTTCCCCACTCCCCCTAGTGTCCCCAGGCGGAAAACCAACCTTGCAACTTTGGGACTTCCGTCACGTTAAGTTGGAAATGGGAAGTATTGTGAGAAGCGAGAATGAGCGAGAAACACAAACTGCTTTACGGCAGTTCCACATAAACGCAGACGCCCCCCTCAATACCGGTTAGCCATGCCGGCTATAAGAACAAGCGACGATGAATGTAGTACCCACCTCGGTAGACATTGCTCCACACGAAAAAGTTGTGTTTGAAATATACATCCCAGAGGTGTAGGGGGAGCTCGTTGAGAAAACATGCGACGACAAAAGTGAAAACCAGCAAAGAAATGGCTCGAGTTGCCAAGTTCCCCTTTAAATTAATATGTCAAGTTATTAATTTTTTTTTTCAAATACAGTTGCCACTAAACTCAAAATGTAACAACCTGCATTAAGTGTAATAGGTTAAGTCCAAAATGTTCCATTATCATATTTTAGTTTACAGTTTTGTGTTACTTTCAGTTCCAAGACCAATTTACAGGAAAATAGAAGTAGAAATAGAGCGTCTAAAAACAACGACATAGAAACAAACTAAGCAGAAAACTATTATGCACCAAGGTGGCGAAAATAACTTTATATATAAATATATACATGTATGAAGCCATTCAAATGTAAACAATACAGCAATAGAGCAAAGGAATAACTATTGAATGTGTAAAGTACTATATTATTTATATACATGAGTGGCTGGTTATTTACGGTATATGCATGTATACATGTCCACATACAGCAGGGATGTACATCAGTACACTCTGGTCCATGTGATACACATCTCAATGCACTGCGAACAATACTATACATTAAAGATACATATGAAGCAGCTACCAATATCATTTGATACAATTCACATCTATTGCAATGCTGGGAGATTCGACACGATTTGATTCAACACAAACATAACAAGAATATGATGCTTTGCAATTCAATACAGTACAGATAGTTTAATTTTATTTCTTTGGTTCTTCTTAAGTAGCTTGAGAAACAGTTTAGAGATGAATCAATCAAAATATAGAATTTTTGGTCACATTTCTAAATAATAAAGGCATAGAGCCTCTACCAATAAATAATAAATTGGTTGTTACCGTTGCAGATACAGGGGTGGATCTAGGGTGGCAGCTGCCATCCCTAAAAAAATGCCTGGCCACCCCAGCTAACACCCTAGTTTGGTGTCAAATGCTGGCAAATTTAACACATTAATTAGATTTATTTTAAAGATAATGTCATAAAAAACTGAATTTAATTTAATGTTATGGACACATTTTAGACTCAGTGATCGGCTTAAGGTCAATGAAGTTAAGTTAAATTCCAAAAAGATGTGGGAATAAAATCATGTATTGATTGGGCGGCTGTGGCTCAGAGGCAGAGCGGGTCATCCCCTAATTGGAAGGTTTTCTGGTGCCACCTGTCGAAGCATCCTTGAGCAAGATACAGAACCCCAAATTGCTCCCGATGCCGTGCAGCTATACAAGTACAGGTCCATTTACCATTTCTAATGCCACAATAATGTTTTTGAGTTCAAATATCTTCTTTTGGGGGCCTTTTCAAGCAAATAATGACATATGTGTGTTTGTGATTAAATTAAATGTGATTAATAAACCCTTAAAGTCTCCATGCTACCCTCTGGACACACCGTATTTAATATTTGTCGAGATCTACTCCTATAGATGTTAGAAACTCTGCATCCCGATTTCATTCCAAATTGCACGCTTTTTTAAATCGGTCGATTGCATCTGGAAATTTTATGCCGGTTATTGACACTATATTGACACAAAGTGATGGTGTGTGGGTAGAAAGTGTTCACGTGTCTGGTTGTTTGGTGTACAGTGCTTTGTAAAGGAGAAGAAGTGGGGGCAGGTTGTGATGAGTTATAAAGGGTCTAACTGAGAGTCCAGTGCTTTCTCACTTTAACAGACGTCATAATAAACAGTCAATTCTGAAATGACCATTTTATTTAAAGGGGAACTTGGCAACTCGAGCCATTTCTTTGCTGGTTTTCACTTTTGTCGTCGCATGTTTTCTCAACGAGCTCCCCCTACACCTCTGGGATGTATATTTCAAACACAACTTTTTCGTGTGGTATGTCTACCGAGGTGGGTAATACATTCATCGTCGCTTGTTCTTATAGCCGGCGTGGCTAACTGGTATTGAGGGGGGCGTCTGCGTTTATGTGGAACTGCCGTAAAGCAGTTTGTGTTTCTCGCTCATTCTCGCTTCTCACAATACTTCCCATTTCCAACTTAACGGGACGGAAGTCCCAAAGTTGCAAGGTTGGTTTTCTGCCTGGGGACGCTAGGGGGAGTGGGGAAAGTCACCATCTTCACCGGAACAGGCCATTTACCCATCCAAATGATTTCTAAACGGGTTTATTAGTTGAAATAGTTGCCAAGTTCCCCTTTAAGAGGAACCATCTTTTTCACAGCTATGGTAACTTTACAAAGTTCTAGTCTAGATCACAAGAGTATTCCACCAGCCCATGTGTGTAACAGTGTCAAAGTGTCCAGAACCAGACGTATCCATTCTGGATGAGACTGTTCACCAGTATCTAAAATGTCCAATATGTCCAAAATGGCTCCATCCAGTGAAGCGTCCAATCATCACACATCTCAGGCCACATGCTGGATCACAACAATGAAGCATTTGATACAACAACAAGTAGAAATATTAACTTCAGGGCGTCAGTGCGCCTCAAAGGGCTAGTTGGATCATTTAACAGGGTCTGAAACCCCTGCCCTCCACACCATTCTGACATCATTCTGACAGTCACAGGTGAGGGAGTAGGTGGGGAGTTCATAATTCTTCATTCTTCACAAAACCATTTTAGTCACTTTTCACCTTAGTGCAACACCATGAATCCTTCCAGGAGAGACATGAGCAAACCGTTATTACCACAATTGACTGCGTCTGACCCCTTTCTACAGACCTCAACAGTGAGTGGCCACTGGTTCCAGAAGTGAATTTCCCTTTCATTTACTCCTTATATCGAGTATTAAGACTGTGACCAAGCCAGCCAAGAGTTGTGACCATACGACATTTGATTCTAAGCAAAAAACCTAAACAAAAATAAAACAAAAAAACAGAAATAAGACAAAGGTACAAGACAATGCATAATTATTTTAAGAGTGAAGGAACTACTCATCCCATGATCCACTGCAAATGATAACAATAGTGGCACACTTCTCCTTCAATTTCACATTTCTTAGTGTTTATATTGTGAATAAAAGTGTTGTAATACATCGTACAGTGCTTGCAGCTAAACCTTGTGTAGTGTGTAAATAATAGATTTTTTGTAAAAAGTAACTCATCAGACATTTCCATGCTAACAGCTAGCTCTACTGATCAGAGACATCGCTGTTACACTTTTGGGTTGTGGGTACTGTAGTATCTCAAGTTTTTCTTAAAGCAGGGTTGATATATGAGTTATGGCTCCTATGGAAGAATATACCATTGTTTCACAATCTCATAGATCGTCTAGCTTGGATGGTTACGAAATTATGGCTAATAACAGAAATCCTCTATTCTATATTCTATTATAATGGGATTGTTACTTACACTGTTGAGCTCTATGACAGCAGCCGTTCACAGTGTGGACGTTCAGAACAGAACAACAGTTTTGCCTTCAAACATGGTTGTACATGGTTGTAAAACTCGTTCATTTTCAGCATACTGACCTCTTTCGCCTGTCTACTGTCAATCAGAGTGATAACAGGTTCTAACTGTGTGTGTTGAATGTTGGAGGTTTGGGGACTATATTAGTTTACATTAGTCACAGATTGTGCCTTTAGCAGAACCATTATTGAATTATTTCTCCACACAGTAACAAAAAAGACTGACTTAGTCAAACCATGCACATCTCAAGGTCTCAACCATATCCTGAAGAAAGCTTACACTTCCACTGGCTCCCACACCCCTTATCACGGGTCAACCCAAGACTACTTGGTTCTCAGACTTTCCTTTTTGATTACTTAAGAGCTCAAATTCCCCAGATTTTCAGAAGAAATGGTAACATTTGAGAAAATTAAAATTAATTAATTCTCTTCCCTTTCTTGTGAATAATTTTCCTGGTTTTCCAGTTGGGAACCACTGAGCTCCGCTGGTCATCCATTCTTCTATTTGGCTTTTCCAGCAAGAGTATAAAGTGCTTCTTATTAGATGAGCCCACAGCGCTCAGCTCAAGTTAACCACTTTAGACACGAGACACACCTGACATCTATCAAATGATCCTGTGAAACATGCCTATTTGCTGCCTCAACAACATTAAACTGCTAAAAAATACTTCTTTCTGACCCTTGGACTGCCTGAGAATCCTGCAGCTTGGGACCGTGTTGCTCCTGCTCAGTTCTTCCAGTCCCAGGGGACACAAAGGTCCCCATCCTGCATGACCGAGTAGAAGTGAGAAACACAGATGTGGAGGCCCTGCATGAGGGGGAAACGCTGCTCCACCAGTCTTTTACAGCACAGGATCATCTGGCTAGAACTGACACTGGGCTCCTTGGACAGACTCCTCAGAGACAGATTTTGGAGACACAGCTTCACCACAGCATCTTCCTCCACCTGCAGCCTGAACACAAAAAAAGTATGAGTTAATAACAGAGCTGATGAACTAGTGTGAGGTTAGGTGTGTTACCGGACAAACATCACAGATTTGTGATGAGCAGCAGTGATCATCGTTAGCGGGAACACGCTTTTCGCATCTTATTAATGCTACAGTGTAATATTTCCACATTCAAATGTCCATAAACACTGGAGCTATATATATATATATATATATATACACACACACACACACAGACATACATATATGAATGTATGGAAAGAAACTTTTCGATTTTGCTTTAAGACAGTCGAATCATGTCCATTCAAGCTGGAAGGGCACATGCCCCACCAAATTTTCGAAAACCTTTTTTTTCATTGCTTTTTCGTTTTATATTCAGACCCAGTTGTAAGAAGGTGCAAACATGCATTGGACCCTGAGTTTAATAATTTTGCACCACAGTAATTAACGTTACACAGCATCATTGCAGTGTGTTTCACAGATAAAACATGAGACGCAATGTTTGCCAAAAAACAAAGTTAGACAAGGCTATGATTAGCCCTGTAACCGGAAGTCTCCTTCATAAAATAGCAGAATATCCAGTTAAAGCCAAGCAGTCTGACCAGAGCTATGTATGTTTATATTGTAGCAGCCTGCTGTTGCTTTCAGGCCATTTAATGAAGTTAAACTCAGCAAACGGTCGTGTGTAAAGACAATGCGCTCTGGCGCGGCGCTTTACATATCTGTCCATGCCTTCAGATGCTGCAGGGACTCTGAACTGAAGGAGACCACATTAAACCTTTTGCTGCTTCCTACGCATTGTGTTTGAACATACAGCTACAGTACAGTAACAGCGTGAATATTGGCCATTCGCAGGCTCACTTGCAGTAACATCCTTACTGAATAATTAACAAACAAAAGATGTTGCAGTGCCTTGTTCACGTGACATTTCATTCCATATATTCAAGTTCCATTTAATATATTAAAATTTTCCATTCCATATATTCAGACTTTCATTCCATATATTCATTCAATAATTTCCTAAAGGGCATGCCATAATATATATGTATGGCATTGTAAATTAAATTACATGAAAATTTTGATTCTTCATGGACATTATACAAAGAAAAGTGTATGTGCAAACATAGGGCTGCCAGCAGCGGCTCTGCAGCAGCCACGCAACGCAACTGACACACTTGATGTGGACACTGCGCATGTGTCAGACACACTCTGTAGACACCACACGCTGCTCAGGTGGCCTATGTAAATGAGCTGTAACTGGGAGAAGCTTGCAATGATGGCAACAGTGCTGAAGACAACATCTCCCTAGTTTTTTGCTCACTTACTGAAGAGCTGCCCAGCAGGATTGTGCTCATCTTCCAGCCACCAGTGCAGTATTCTGCTCTATAAGTTATCCTTCAATACAGATACACACATGCTTCTATACATACTGCAAGGACAAGTACATACATATTAGAGCCTGACCGATGTTGGATTTTTGAGACCGGCTTTTAAAGGTGAAACATTACAAATATGGTGGCCAATACAACAAAAAAACTTTTTCTGTGGACTGTGCACTGATTTTGCTCCAATATGGCGACAGGTACAATCGGCCAATATCAGATAGTGAGTTTTTAAAGCCAATATAATAACAATAGTTTGGAGCAGGGAAAAGCTGATAGCTCAATCAATCAACCCCAACAAAAAATATGTCACTGCCAGAAAATATTGTTTTATTTTTATTGACACCTGGCACAGGAGCTGAGAGCCAACAGACATGAGTCATGCTGCTCTGCCTCACAATGTCCAGTACTGCACTGCCTTCTGTTTCCATTACCCTTCTCTACTTCCATCAGTTCATTTTATGGTTTGTTGGTTTTTAAAGTGTACAGCCTTATGTGCTGTTGCTCCTGCGCTGCTCTGTTTACAATGATGCAGCTACAAAAGAGATTAAACTGACAGAAAGTGAGTGGAAGAAGTGTTGTATTTGACTCACTGGTTTTTGCGTTGGGTGCGCAGTCTGGCCTCGGGGGCTTGGCTCTGAAGGAAGACCTGCAGCTTTGGAGGGTCACAGTTGGTGGGGACAATGAAGTGTCCCATCTCATGAAGACTGGGGTTAGAGCGGTCACTGCGATTGCAACAAACAGCAAACTATGTCTTACTTAATCAAAGATCACAGCATTGTGTCATGTGTTTGAGGTCGTTCGGCCTTGACAGCGTACTTCTCCAACAACATGGTGAGCCCCTGCAGGCTCCTGGGGTGCAGGCGAAGGCGTCGGGACACCAGGCTCTTGTGGAAAGTGCTGAGGGTGCTGTAGTGCTCGGCAATGAGCTGGACCGGTCCCAGCCTCTCCATGTGGATCACTTGAGTTCCGCCCAGGAGAAGGCTGATCCTCTCCTTCAGCCACTCCGTCTGCTGCAGCAGGCTGCGATAGCTGGACAGCTGCTCAAACAGCTGGAGACACAGGGCTCAGAAAACAAAGAGGAACACAGGGGACCTGTGACAGCAGGAGCACTGCAGCTACATTACCTTGGTCCACTGGTGATGGACGTCCATGGTTCCCAGCATGACGTGTCCAGAGGCGTTCATCCCTGACTGGTCAGCAAACACAATAGTGTGTCCTAGGGGGAAGGTGGAGGAGCACATAAAAGGAGAGGTTTTACAGCCTAGTTTTACAGCCTAGTTTTACACTGCATAAGTCAGTTTTACTGGTCTTGGGCAATAGAGATAAATAAATGAAAACTGTTGTAGAAAGCAGTCCGTGGTTCTGAAGTAAGCTGTGAAACTGGGTAAATGATCAATCAAATGTTATGGTCACATTAGACCGCTCAAACAAAGATGCCAACACTCAGCACTGAAGAGCTACCAGACTGCTAGTGTGGTGATGGCAAGGTGATGGCAGCACTAGAATAGGGAGAATAAGGGAGTCTGGGGCTGATTTGCTGCCATGGTCCTGCTTGACTGCCATTGCTAATATCACTGATATTACTGTTATTATTGTTATTAGGGACCAGCCAGTGACAACTGGAAGGTCCCTATTGTTTTTGCTATGTTTATCATCATTCTTTTTCTTCACCCTCTTTGACTGCCTTTTTGACCCCCTGAACATATACGAAATGTCTATTTTATTTGGCAAGTGGCGCTACTTTTAGGAAACATTTGATAGGCTAATAACTCCCGCATACTTTGTCTCACATTCAAAAAACTCATATCCACGCGTTCGGTGAATCTCCCCATATAAGCCACGCCCACTTCCGCCTAGATTTTTTTTCCGCTAGAGTGCAAAATGTCCAAAAACTACGTTTTTGTGATCCATCCATGCGCTTTTGTCCGATTTGCATGAAATTTTGCACGTAGCATCTGGAGACCGTCCTGGCAAAAAAAGTAGTTTAAAGTATTTTGATATTTCAAAAAATAGTTATAAAATTAGCACTTCCTGTTGATTTTTCGTCAAAAAAGGAAGTGGGGTATTTCTCCACATTGGTATGTCCGATTTACACCAACCTTGGGTCCATAGTTCCTCATGTCTTCATTATGTATCCTGCACAATTTCAGGTCATCACCACAAGGTGGCGCTCTTTAAAATGAAGAAGTTTATATCTCTGCATCAGCAAGTGTGATTAAAATGAAACTTGGTACGATGCTTGCCCATGGCTCCCTGAGGGTCCCCTAAAAAGGAAAAAAAATCACGCCACTAGGTGGCGCTCTGGTGGCAGGGTAAATCACTCTGCAGAGACCGTAATAGGTATGAATATGAAATTCACAGGACACGTGTAGACTGATGCCTGTAGCTCACATACCAAAAATCGTTTTTGTCGTGTTTGTAGCGCCCCCTACAGGATTTAAAAAAAGCAGCCCTGGCGCCACGTTTCACCGATATGTACGAAACTCGGTAGGCATGTGTAACGTGCCGAGACGTACAAGGAAGCCTCTTGGACTCATGTCCCAAATCCCAGAGGAAGTCGGCTATTTTAATTTAAGATTTTCACTCTTGGCGGCCATTTTGTGGTCATTTTCACTTTTTGGGCTTGTATTTGAACCAACTCCCCCTAGGGAATTTATCGGATCTGCTTCAAAATTGGTCAGTACAGTCAAAACATGGTGCTGAATGAACGCTGCTCAATTTGTAACTGTACGTTGAAGGGCGTGTCTGTGGCGTGCCGTTAAAGTTGGCCATTTTAAACGAATGTCACTGTGATGTCATTTTTGGCATTTCAGGGCTTCTATTTTAACTAACTCCTCCTTCAGTTTCTATTGGATCTACTTCAAAATTGGTCAGTGCAGTCAGTTTTTTTCCGTGGAACATTGTGCCCGTGGCGTGGCGTTCCGTGGCATCCAATTTCAAACCTTCGCCATGTAAGAGGGATTCGTCATAACTTCTGCCTACATGATCCGACTGCAACGAAACTTCACACGTTCGATAAGAGTCCCGCCCTGAACATGTCTATGTGATAATATTCGGTAATAGTCAGAGCGCCACCTAGTGGCAACAGGAAGTATCACGTTTTATACTTTCATGTTCTACTCCTAGCAGGATGATCAGACCCAGCTGAAATGTACTTATAAAATGCAAAACACATCGTTGATTATATGTGACGACTGTGGTGAGGGGGCGTGTCTGTAGCGTGGCGGGAATTTTTTACGTACCGCCACAAAACACGAATTTGCTATAACTTGAGTGTACATTGTCCAATCGGCTCCAAACTTCACTTGTCTGATAAGAGTCCCGCCCTGAACACATCTACATGAAGTTATTCGGACATAGTGACAGCGCCACCTACTGGCAACAGGAAGCAACCGCTGCGTGGCAATTTTGAGCTGATTTACGTGAGATTTTCATGTCGTGGTCCACACGTGTTACGACGGCAAGTGACACGGCCGCAGCACGCCCCGAGTTGCGTGGAGTGCGAGGTCCCGTCCATCGCTGCTTGCAGCTTTAATTAATATTATTATTACTACAGTTACTATTATTAATTCAATTCAATTCAATTTTTATTTGTATAGCGCCAATTCATAACAGAAGTTATCTCAGGACACTTTTCAAATAGAGCAGGTCTAGACCGAACTCTTTAACATTAATTACAGAGACCCAACAGTACCACCATGAGCAAGCACTTGGCGACAAGGGCAAGGAAAAACTGCCTGTTAAAAGGCAGAAACCTAGGACAGATCCTCCGGCTCTAGGTGGGTGGTCGTCTGTCTCGACCAGTTGGGGTGAGAGAGAGAGAGAGAGAGAGAGAGAGAGAGAGAGAGAGAGAGAGCGACAGACAGACAGACAGACAGACAGGTGCACAGCAACAACAGTATTGGCAATGGCAGTCAAGCAGGACCATGGCAGGAGGCTCCACCAGGATCCATGAGAACCTGCGAGACGAGAAAGCACAAGAACTCCGGGGAAGAAGTGGAGTTAGTAACATGCATTAAAGGGACATGAATGAGTGCAGAAAGAGAGAGGAAGAGAGTAGCTCAGTGCACCATGGGAAATCCCCCGATAGTCTAGGCCTATAGCAGCATAACTAAGGGATGGTTCAGGACTCACCTGATCCAGCCCTAACTATAAGCTTTATCAAAGAGGAATGTCTTAAGCCTACTCTTGAAAGTGGTGAGGGTGTCTGCCTCCCGAACCACAACTGGAAGCTGGTTCCACAGGAGAGGAGCTTGGTAACTGAAGGCTCTGGCTCCTGTTCTACTTTTAGAGACTATAGGAACCACAAGTAGCCCAGCATTCAGAGAACGTAGTGTTCTAGTGGGGTAATAGGGTACTATGAGCTCTTTAAGATATGAAGGGGCCTGACCATGAAGAGCTTTATAGGTGAGGAGGAGTATTTTAAATTCAATTCTACATTTTATAGGGAGCCAATGCAGAGTAGCTAGTACAGGAGAGATGTGATCTCTTTTTCTAGTTCCTGTCAGTACTCGTGCTGCAGCGTTCTGAATTAATTGGAGCGTTTTAATGGACTTATTGGGGCAACCTGATAATAAAGAGTTGCAGTAATCCAGCCTTGAAGTAACAAATGCATGGATTAGTTTTTCTGCATCTGTCTGTGATAGTATGTGTCTAATTTTTCTAATATTACGTAAATGAAAGAAGGCAGTCCTAGAGGTCTGCTTTATGTGGGAGTTAAATGACAAATCCTGATCAAAGATAACTCCAAGATTCCTGACAGTGGTGCTAGAGGCCAAGTTAATGCCATCTAGAGTGACTATATCTTTAGACAATGAGTCTCTAAGGTTTTTGGGGCCAAGAACAAGAATTTCAGTTTTTTCTGAGTTTAACATCAGAAAATTGCAGGTCATCCAGGATTTTATGTCCTTAAGACATGTTTGTAATTTAGATAATTGATTAATTTCATTGGGTTTGATTGATAGATATAACTGCGTATCATCTGCATAACAGTGAAAGTTAATGGAGTGATTCCTAATAATGTTGCCTAAAAGGAGCATATATAAAGTAAATAGTATTGGTCCAAGTACAGAACCTTGTGGAACTCCATGACTAACTTTAGTATTTATGGAGGATTCATCGTTAACATGTACAAACTGAGTACGATCTGATAAGTATGACTTAAACCAGGTTAGGGCAGTTCCTTTAATGCCAATTTGATGCTCAAGTCTCTGTAAAAGAATATCATGGTCAATGGTGTCAAATGCAGCACTAAGATCTAATAATACAAGTACAGAGACAAGTCCATTGTCAGAAGCAGTCAGAAGGTCATTATTAACTTTAACCAGAGCTGTCTCTGTGCTATGATGAACTCTAAATCCTGACTGAAAATCCTCAAATAAACTATTGTTATGTAGAAAGTCACACAACTCTTTGGCGACTACTTTCTCCAGAATCTTAGAGAGGAACGGGAGGTTAGAAATCGGTCTATAGTTGGCTAAAACCCCTGGGTCAAGAGTAGACTTTTTAAGAAGGGGTTTAATTACAGCTACTTTAAAGGACTGTGGTACATATCCTGATAATAAAGAAAGATTAATCATATCCAGTAAAGAAGTGCCAATTAAGGGAACAACTTCTTTAAGCAGCCTAGTTGGGATCGGGTCTAACAGACAGGTTGATGGCTTCGATGAAGAAATGATTGAAGTTAACTGATGAAGATCGATAGCAGAAAAACAGTCTAAATATACATTATTATTATTACTATTGTCACTGCTCATTGTCCCCCATTGTCGCTGTTGTCGTCATCATCATCTACTGTTAGTGGTTGTTGCTACTGTTGTTGTTGTTGTGCAACTGTCTGTCTGCCTCTGTATCTCTCTCTCTCTCTCTCTCACCCCAACTGGTCGAGGCAGAAGACCACCCACCTAGAGCCGAAGGGTCTGTCCGAGGTTTCTGCCTCTTAACAGGCAGTTTTTCCTTGCCCCTGTTGCCAAGTGCTTGCTCATGGTGGCTCATACTGTTGGGTCTCTGTAAATGTTATAAAGACTTCGGTCTAGACCTGCTCCATTTGAAAAGTGTCCTGAGATAACTTCTGTTATGAATTGGCGCTATACAAATAAAATTGAATTGAATTTAATTTAATTGAACTACCAGGGGTAAATGCAAAGGCAAGATCAGGTCTGGATACAGATCACATTTTATTACCAGGTGTAAATGAGGTCAGATCCTCTTAAAGCCTTTTTTTTATCTAATTGTAACTGCTACAGCTGTCATGTTCTAGGAGCATACATCACCAGTTTCATCAGAATATGATATTATACAGATTCTTTGGACAACAAAACGATATTTGTCGATCACAAAAGCCGCACAATATGATTTCAATTCCATTTGATTAGATTCAGGGGCCTGTGATCAACAACATCATATATGTCCACTAACACAATCAGTTTCATTTAAATAATTTCACAAAAAGCAACTAAAATATGATTTGAAAATGTAATTCTTCTAGACATTTATTTTATCTTGTAATGGCACTGTTTGCATATGGCATGTGCCTTGTCTATATTTCCACACAAAATAAAGATAACTTTGTATCAATATATTGGTTATTGAACACTGATATCGATGTATGTCTTTACCTTGTAGGTTGATCAGGGCCTCTGGGTTCTGCTGAGACAGTCGGCTCAGGCTCTGAAGCTGACAGCACCTGTGGGCCACTCCCCAGCTGCGCTGCCACCTGCGCCACACAACCAACATTATCATCATAATAATAATATATACACAGCTTTACAGTCCCTGTCCCCATTACAACAATCCAGTATACTGCCACTACTTCGCCACTGAGAACCACAGACCTGGAAAGCTGCTGATTATTTTAGTTTATCAGATTGTTCAGACAGGTGGGTAGACATGTTCAGGTAGATGCAGGGTTGTTAACACCTCCCACAACACTTATTCTGTGTTAAAACAGTTGAGTAGAGTGTACCTGATATCAGCCAGATAGAATTTGTGACACAGTTCCTTCTTCAGTCTGATCAGCTCTTCTCTCCGAGGAAGACTAACCTTCTGCTTCTTCGTTGCCTCGGGCTCGTTGTTTCTCAGCCACAAACTGACGAAGAAAAGGTAACATGAAACCACTTTGAGATGACTGTAGGAGAAGGCATTCTATAAAACATATATCTTTCATGGTGACGTAGAATTCTCTCCAACTCTGCAGTTCCTCTCAGCTCTATGTTTGTGTGGACTCAACACAACAACCACCACTTTGTTCGACATACAGTCACAAATAACACAACTTATAATCAGCAGTATTTTATGACTGTACTGACAAATTTGGAAGTAGATCTGAAAATACCCTAGGAGAAGTTTTGAAATTGCCGGAAATGGCGTCACAGTTTGACATTTCATTCAAAATGGCCGACTTTGACGGCATGCCACAGACACGCCATTCAAAGTAAAGTCTCATTTTGGCAAGCAGTGATGATCGGGCCCTTGCACTCTACGCAACTCAGGGTGTGCTGCGGCCGCATCACGTGCAAGTGTAAGACGTGTTTAGGCCAGGGCTCTTAACAAACTTGTGAAGTTTGGGTCAAAATGGAGAATCTGTACTGCAGTTAGGTTTAGCAGTAGGGTTAGGGTTTCCATTGTCATGTCAAGGCTGATTTTTGAAGGCATGCCACGGACACACCGTTTAACTGAATGTACAGATTTTTTCTCTGGATGTACTCACTAATTTTGAAGTTGTTCTGATAAATTCACTAGGAAGAGTTTGTTAAATGCCGGAAATGGTGTCACAGTTTGACATTCGATTCAACCTGGCCAACTCTGACTGCACGCCACGGACACGCCGTTCGACATACAGTCACAAATAACACAACTTATAATCAGCAGTATTATATGATTGTACTGACAAATTTGGAAGTAGATCTGAAAATTCCCTAGGAGAAGTTTTGAAATTGCCGGAAATGGCGTCACAGTTTGACATTTCATTCAAAATGGCCGACTTTGACGGCATGCCACAGACACGCCATTCAAAGTACAGTCACAAATAGCACAACTTTTAATCAGCAATATTTTTTGACTATACTAACCAATTTTGAAGTAGATCTGATAAATACCCTGCAAGGAGTTAGTTCAAATACAACGTGAAAAAATGGCTGAAAATTCACTGCGAAATTCAAAATGGCCAACTTTGACAGTACGCCACGGTCATGCCGTTCAATAAATATTAATGAGGAGCACAACTTCTCCTGCAGGTCTTTAGAATGTGATCACTAGGAGGAGTTTGTTAAAATACAAGGCCTAAAAACGTCGGCAGAATTTGACATTAAATTCAAAATGGCCGACTTCCTGCTGGGTTTAGGATATGGCGCCAAGAGGCTTTTTGTACATCCTGACATGATACACGTTTTCTCATTTTCATTCATGTCCGCGAAACAGGACACCGGGGCTTTTTTCGAAAACGGGATGTATGTGCCAAGTTTCATGAGGTGTTGAGCCTGTTTAGCCTGTGCAAAATGCGATCAAATGTTAAAACAACAAGGTGATGCTTGCCGTTTTGCTACGGCAACACGGTTTAATAAAAATTCATAAGACTCGTAAGATATTATTGTCAACATTCTAAGGGTTTTCTGACTAAATTTCAGTTGGATGTAGTAATGCTAGGAGAAATACATAAAAGTGTAATAAATTATATTTCTGGTTACCACAAAGTGGCGCTACCACGTTTACTGAATTTTATCACATAGATGTGTTCAGAGCGGGACTCTTATCAGACACTTGTTTGGTGCCGAATGGACAATGTTTACTCTAGTTACAGCAAATTCATGTGCGTCCACGTATGATGCAGCAAAGGGCCACAGATTGGATTTGAACCTGAGGTCACTGCAGCAAGGACTCAGCCTTGACAAATGGGGTGCCAGCTCTACCAGGTGAGCTACGAGGGCATCCTACAAACTTGACTTCAAATGAATGATCATGTCGCCCTGTGTCTGTCTTTGTAGACTTTGATTTAAGTGAATGCCAAATGCCTGAATACCAGTACTGGTTATTTTACTTCTCATTGTCAATAAATACTGTTCTCCAGAATAACTTGACATCATATTTAGAGTTCCAGTGTGAAGAATTTAGTGGCATCTATCAGTGTAGTCGCATGGCAACTCCCTCGCTTCACCCTTCCCTTTCAAATGCGAAGGAGAAACTATGGTGGACACGAAAAACACAAACAGACCTATCTACAGTAGAGCCAATACTTGGTTTGTCCTTTCTGGGTTACTGTAGAAACGTGTGACTGTGATTATACAGCTATGAAAACATACCTATGAATATTCCATTTCAGATCCTCCTAAATGATAGCAACACTATCTTTCTGAGATAAGAAAATGGATATCAGTCTGAAGTCTGTGTGTTAAGTACAGAGCTGGTATAGTCTTTCATTTTCCCCTGGTGCACTGAGCTCCTCTCTTCCTCTCCCTTTCTGCACTCATTCATGTCTCATTAAGGCATGTTACTAACTTCACTTCTTCCCCGGAGTTCTTGTGCTTTCTCGTCTCGCAGGTTCTCATGGATCCTGGTGGAGCCTCCTGCCATGGTCCTGCTTGACTGCCATTGCTAATATCACTGATATTAGTGTTATTATTATTATAAGTATTATTATAGCTACGGTTACTGTTGTTGCTGTTGTCACTGCTCATTGTCCCCCATCGTTGCTGTTGTCATGCCCGTCATCATCAGTCACTACTATTAGTGTAGTTGTTGCTACCTGTCTGTCTGGCTGTCTGTCTGTCTCTCTCTCTCTCTGACCCCAAATGGTCGTGACAGACGACCACCCACCTAGAGCTGAAGGATCTGTCCTAGGTTTCTGCCTTTTAACAGGCAGTTTTTCCTTGCCCCTGTCGCCAAGGTCTTGCTCATGGTGGTACTGTTGGGTCTCTGTAAATAATGTTATAAGGAGTTCGGTCTAGACCTGCTCTATTTGAAAAGTGTCCTGAGATAACTTCTGTTATGAATTGGCACTATACAAATAAAATTGAATTGAATTTTCTGTTATATTTTATAATATTCTTATTTTGTGATTTTTATTTTACTTGTACACTTCTGTACTTTTTGCACTACATTCCCCTATGCTGCTGTATCTAATTTGAATTTCTCCTACAGGGGATCAATAAGGGAACATCTTATCTTATCTTATCTTGTGTCACTACTGGTTAGCCTAGTTAGCATAAAGATTGTAAGAAGGGTTAGCCTAAAACAGTTAGCCTGGGTCCAAATTTCAACACAACAGAAATGTCTAAAACAACAGTTTGTGGTTCTTATAATTAATCATTAATGGTTATTATTTATAATTACAGCCTCTACCTAAAAAGTACTGAAATTTGATACCCAGCTCTACATTGTGCACTGTACAGTTGTGATACAGAGATGAGGTCCAGTGATACTAACCTGAGTACAGGCTCTACTCTCCTGGCCTGCTGCAGCTCTTGCTCAGGGTCTCTAAAGCCAGTGAAGGTGTAGTAGCTTTTATCCCATTTGATAGGTCTGTAGAAAGGCGCCTCAGGTGGCCTTTCGGATGCCTCTGCACTTGCTTTCAGTCCACTCATGTGCTCAATGGGCAGGCTGCAGGACTTCAAGACGTTCATCACTGTGCTCAAGATATCGTTTGTGTGCAAGGTGAAACTCACTGATCGGAACCCTGAGAACCGGGGGGAGGTTTTAGATTTCTGAAGACAGAACTCACAAATGTTATGAGCGACATGAATGGAAACTGTACCCGAGGTGAGGAGGTCTGCCTGCACATCACTGCTATCCCTTGTGTCCCTGACATAAAAGGTGAGCTTCATTGGCTGGACTGAGTGTGAGCCAGGCTTCTGCAGGTTGTCCAGGTAGCCATTTAGCCTCTTTAATGAATTCTCATTCACTTCCTGTAGTAAACAAAATTGTACATAAAAAATGGAAGTTACATCTCCACTTCCCCCCACTGTACACAAATGAAAGCCAAAATATCCCAGATACGGATCTTGAACTGGTGACGACAATCAGTCTACAGAGTAGTGATTGGGGTTGGCACCGCAATATCAAAGTCTCGCCCAACCGTCTCAATCACGAACAGGGCTCAGTTGTCAATCATGATGTCAAACCCCCGCTTTTTATGGCTTCAAATAACATGGAGTCAGTGGGCTTTATGAACTATACTAATATAGTCAGATGCCAGAGATGTTTTCAAGATGTTTTGGCTTCACTTTTAGAAGCTGTCATGTCATTCATCTTTATATATGTCAGTCGCCCTCCAGCAAAATACTACAATTGTCTGTGTCCAATATCTTAATAGTCACAGTTCAATCACTTTAGATTTGTTTGATTTACAACATAATATAAGTGACCTACCCGTTCCCTGGGATATTGACCAAAGAAATCAGGATGGACTGCAAAATAAAAGGGTCTGAGTGCATTGACAGCATCTGCCCCTGACAGAGTCCTCTGCTGGACTAAATGTGTGGCCACATGCTTCCTCTCCAGCCTACAGAGGAAAAATACATTAGTTCCATTCCATCCATCCTATGTGGAGAAGACAGGTATTAGAGGTATAACTAGTGCTCTATGTCTGCATATAGGTTATCATATATGCACCCAAATGAAACCTTTTTTTCTTCTGAAAAAATACTATAACTATAATATATTGGAGCCGGTGCAAAGTTTATCCAGCAGAGTGGGCTGTGATTTACAATACTGTGGCAAGCAGCACAGAGTAAGAAAGAAGGAGCAGCTCTCAGCAAAGTCAACTAGGATTGGTTGACAGTGTATACATCAATTACTGAACATGTTTAAGAATATCTCAATTAAATATTCATGAATGAAGCAGCCTTCTGAATACCTTTGCACAATCCACAAAGAAAAGGTATTTTTTTCATACATAATAAATAATTTAACCAGTTCTAGTTGATATTGCTGAGAGCTGCTGCTTGTTACAGTATTGTGAACACCATGCTCTCTGAATGCAGAGCTACTTCTGGTCCCTATAGTCTCTAAAAGTAGAACAGGAGCCAGAGCCTTCAGTTACCAAGCTCCTCTCCTGTGGAACCAGCTTCCAGTTGTGGTTCGGGAGGCAAACACCCTCTCCATATTTAAGAGTAGGCTTAAGACGTTCCTCTTTGATAAAGCTTATAGTTAGGGCTGGATCAGGTGAGTCCTGAACCATCCCTTAGTTATGCTGCTATAGGCCTAGACTATCGGGGGATTTCCAATGATGCACTGAGCTCCTCCCTTCCTCTCTCTTTCTGCACTCATTCATGTCCCATTAATGCATGTTACTAACTTCACTTCTTCCCCGGAGTTCTTGTGCTTTCTCGTCTCGCAGGTTCTAATGGATCCCAGTTGGGCCTGCTGCCATGGTCCTGCTTGACTCCAATTGCTAGAATTACTGATATTGTTATTATTCACCATCCCCCATTGTTGTGGCTATTACCGCCGTCATTATCAGTAATTTCTACTTGTATGTAGTACTGTTGTTGCTGTGCAGTTTTCATATCAGAGCATATTGAATAATATGTACGCCAATACCAATCCAATACAGATATGTCTGTAATAGGCCAATACAGTTGCAAGAAAAAGTATGTGAACCCTTTTGAATTACCTGGATTTCTGGATATAATTGTTTGTGTGGTATTAGTTTAAGCAGACTGTGTTTGTCTATTGTTGTGACTTAGATGAAGATCAGAACACATTTTATGACCAATTTATGCAGAAATCCAGGTGATTCCAAAGGGTATTTCTTGCAACTTTATATCAGTGAAGTATTATAATAATTGAAAAAGTTACTCTTTTGGAATCATTTCAGCACTGTTTAATATATGAAGTCCTTAATTGTAAACTCCATCAACCTTATTTTATTATCAGAGTTGGAGGTGAATATGAGTGTGATATAGAGCTGGATGATACATTGTATGACCATTTTTGTATCACAAATGCAATTGAAAAACTATTTTTAAAATTAATATTCATGATGTAACATTTCTTAGGGTCTGAACTAGGGATGGGACGATATATGATATTATCGTAATAAAACAGAACTACAGTACTTACCATTATTATACTGTTTTGTCACACATTTTACCTTTCTCAAAAAACTGCGGTATTCTTTAATATTGCTTTTGGTCATATTACGATTTCGGTAATACTGGGATTAATTGTGCAGCCCTAGTGTGATACAAGACTTTGTTTATGCCTCAGAACATCCCTCGATCACACCTTGATTCACACAGTCAAGCAAACAAGTTGTCAGCAGTGTTACCTGATGCAGCATCGCAGCAGGCAGTTGACAGACATTACTGATGCTGCTTGTCTCATGATCTCTGTATCAGTCCATCAGTAGTCCTAATATCAGAGTACACATATGACCAAAGTGTCACCAGCACAGCACAGCTCTCTGTATTCATTAAGTAACCAGGAGGAAATTACTTTGCACCACAAAGGGTAATCAATTCTAACGTGTATCTGTTATAAATACACATTCAAAACTAAAACAAGGATTAACGTCAAGCAGCTTAGATTTACGTTACTTGCTTTTGTATTTCGCTACGGCGTTAGCTAGCTATTGGAGTTGCACTCTGGATGACACGCAACAAAACAAATACAAAATTAGGACAAGTTAGTTTACTAATAAATAATAACACCCAACCTTCCTACAGAGCTTGGTGTAACTTAGTGGGTAACTGTTAAGTTAAGGTTAGTGCTTCAGCGTTGTTCGCTGTGTGACTTCTATTCAATGACGGCAACATAAAAACCAAGGCTCCAGTTGGCTACTGTAGTTAGCATTAACAGTGTTAGCATTGCGGGGATTTTGGCTGTCAGCTGTTACTGTCTAATGTAAGCTATTAAGAGCGCGAAATAAGCGACAGTTGTAGTTTATTTACGACTGACGACAAACAGCGATGAGAATTTGCCCTCACCGTCAGACCGACAGGTCGGCTCATTCTGTGTTCTTCTTCCGCTTCTCCTTCTTTTCATTGTATGGCGGATTGCAGTCATTGACTTTGAAGGCGCACACCGCCACCTACTGTGCCGGAGGCGAAGTACTGAAATAAATGAGTAACAGAAATCAGAATCAGAATTTGTTTATTGCCAAGTAGGTTTTTTATGCCTACGAGGAATGTGACCTGGTGCAGTTGGTGCATAAAAATATATACATATACAAATACAAATATACAATTATTCAAATTTAAATCACACAGAAATCACACAGAAATCACAAAGGAAAATAAAGTACTTTCAAAAAATAAATAGATAAAGATAAGAAGAGAAAGAGAAAGCTGAGCAGAAGAACGTGGGTGCATTAATGTAATGCATACTGTATATACAGGGTGGGTATAAGAGTCAATGACAGTGGGTAATCCGGGCCTTGTTAAGGAGGCCAGCTGCCGACGGGAAGAAACTGTTTTTATGGCGAGACGTTTTAGTCCTGATGGACCGCAGCCTCCTGCCAGAGGGAAGTATCTCAAAGAGATTGTGACCGGGGTGGGAGGGGTCAGCCACAATCTTACCTGCACGCTTCCTGGTCCTAGAGGCGTACAGGTCCTGGAGGGATGGCAGATTGCAGCCGATCACCTTCTCAGCTGATCGAATGATGTGCTGCAGTCTGCCCTTGTCCTT